TACAAATATTCATTAAAAAAAGACGAATACCAATCAAGGGAATGTGATTTATATTCAAAGTTTACATACATATGTATTTACATACGTGATGGATTTCATCGAATTACATCATTTTATGAAAAAAAAATTAAAATATTAGTCACGACTTTTTCCATTTCATTTACGATGTTGTTACGTTTTGTTGCATTTAAGGTGATGGTATGTAGGTATATTTTCTGAAAAGTTGTCCGTTGTCCTGCATTTCCAATTCATATTTATGGTCACCGTGGGTATATAGAAATATATCTGCCTTGAGGTCTTCCCAGCTGGCGTATGAAATCTCCGACTACATAATGGCCAGGAACTGCATTTTCTTTCCGACTTATAAATACGATGATACTTTATTACCTATATAAAAAACATATCTTTCCTAAGTCGGGAGATCGCGCGACCTAATCTTACCTCTATACAATTTTAACAATTCCAAAAGACTGTTTTTCATTACTCTTATACGAATCTAGAGCTCAATTTCAATTACTGTTAGAATCGAAGTTAACAAGAGCAACTTTAATGCCATTTTGTTTACCTACTTCTCTTCAAATTAATGAACTAGTATGTATTTGTGATCTTTATCCAGTTCAGAATTACTCTAGATATTTGTTGTTAGATTTAATATTGTAGCTTTTAATTTGTACAGACTTGTTGCACAAAAAAAAATTAAGTCTTACTGCCATATTTAAAATAGTTTTTAAAATAAAATAAAATAAAATAAAATAAAGTAAAATAAAATAAAATAAAATAAAATAAAATAAAATAAAATAAAATAAAAGAAAATAAAATAAAATAAAATAAAATAAAATAAAATAAAATAAAATAAAATAAAATAAAATAAAATAAAATAAAATAAAATAAAATAAAATAAAATAAGCAAAATTTATCTCCTAAAAAATATTTTTGTAGAATATTTTAACCCTGAAAGGGTCATTTTGGTCCCTACTTCAAGGAACCCGCAAAAAGTTAATTTGAAAGGTGTTTAGGGGGTTGATATGTTCTAGAAAAGTATTTTGCGCAAAATTTTACTAGGGGTCTTCTCAGGCAAAAACTTCTTGTCACCAACGTAAAGGTCTCTAAAAATTTATATCAAAAAATCTATGCCAAGAAGTAATTACAACCAAACTATTTAAATAAAAAAAAAAACAATATTTTGTAGAAAGAAGCCAATTCTTTTTTGCTGCTCCGAAACAGATACCGGCGTAAAACTGTAGCCCCCTACCCTTTAAGACATTTCGCAAATAATTCTATTCTCTGGCGAACTTGTTGCAGTAAAATAATACATGTTCAACGTTTTCGGTAACACTGCCTTGAGAACGGTTTATCCATGCTTCGGGGTTTGGTATTAAACGGTGGGTCTACCGTCTGCTGTTGCTAATCCACTGCTTTGCTAGTTCAACAGAGTTCCATTGCTCGCAATTTTTTGTCAGTATTAGTGGTGATCCATCTGGTGCTTCGAAATTGGTTGCCTTTCGTTGTAAATAGGCCTGAGAAATGTTATCAAAAAAAATGTTCACCAAAATTAAAAAGAAAATGTTGTGTATGCAGTTTTAGCATAATAAAGTGCAATTTGCAAGTGGCTAGGTAATCACGTTGATTTTTAATAATTTTTTTCGTCAACAATTCCAGCACATCTGCCTGCTAAATGGTAAAATAAAGCGTTTGTTATATTATTAAAAATCAACGCGAACTCTTAGCAACTTGCACTTTATCCTACTGCATACCCAACATTTTTTATAAAAACAAAAAAATTTAATTTTGGTAAAAATGATTTTATAGCATTTACAATTTTTTACTTATTTTTAATTTTATTTTTTCATTTTGNGAAAAGAAAATGTTGTGTATGCAGTTTTAGTATAATAAAGTGCAATTTGCAAGTGGCTAGGAAATCACGTTGATTTTTAATAATTTTTTTCGTCAACAATTCCAGCACATCTGCCTGCTAAATGGTAAAATAAAGCGTTTGTTATATTATTTAAATTCAACGCGAACTCTTAGCAACTTGCACTTTATCATACTGCATACCCAACAGTTTTTATAAAAACAAAAAAAAAATTAATTTTGGTAAAAATGTTTTTATAGCATTTACAATTTTTTACTTATTTTTAATTTTATTTTTTCATTTTGGGAGAACCATACAATTGTTTTTAGGTAGTTTTTATTATGTAATATTTATTAACTGGAACAAGAGAACCGATTTTCTTCAAAAGTGCTACTTTTTTACACTTTGCACTAAAAAATTTAATAAAAACAAACAAAAATTCAAAAATCGGGCTCAACTGGTCTCTTGAAAATTTTATTAGTTTTCAGGAAAAAAGATAAAATTGAGTGAAAATTGAAGGCTCCAGTTAATTGTGAACACAAAGTGCTAATTTTGAACCACTGTGCGTCGCTGCAACAGTCGCAATGGCCGAGTGAACAAAGCTCAGGCATGCCATTCGCCATTATTTTTTTCAATTTATTTATTTTTTCCTTTTTATTTTTACGTTGTTTTAAAAACAAAAATATATATTTTTTAATTTAATTATATTTTCAGAAACTTTTTAAACCCTTTTTTAATTTTTTCTTTCATTATTTAATTTTTAGATGTTGCTCTTTTAAAAAAGAAAAAACTATTATTAATTTAATTTCATTTTTTATTAATTCAATTAATTAAATTTTTTGTTTTGTTAATTTTGAAAAGAAAAGTACATTTTTCTTATTTCATTTAATTTTACGATCTTACTTATTTTTTTTTTCAATTTAATTTTCCTTCAACCTTAAAAGTTTGTTTTAATAATAAATATATTTTTATTCTTTTTTTCTAATTTTTAGGAACTATTTTCCTTTTTTTATTTAATTTTTTTCCTTTGTAAGTTTTTTTTTAATAATTAGTTTGTAGTTAAACAGAAAAAATATAAAGTTTTTGTTAATTTAGTAAAATTTTTAAACAACGATTTGCTAAATGTCAAGAATAACGAATAACGCTAAGACCTTCTCCTTGGCAGATCCTTCAATTAGTCTTTCGAAAGACAATTCAGAGCTTTGAAGATAGTTGCCAGACTTTTGTCTTTCGAAAGACTGTGGTGAATTGAATTGACAGTTGCCAGAATTGCCCTCTAAACCCGAAACTTCGAATTTGTCTTAAGAATAGCAACTTCACTGCCCGTTTCCATCGACTGACCTTAAATCCTTTAATTCCAAGTTTGAATGGCTATAGTGCTGAAGTTCATAAATAGTTATNAACAAATATATTTTTATTCTTTTTTTCTAATTTTTAGGAACTATTTTCCTTTTTTTATTTAATTTTTTTCCTTTGTAAGATTTTTTTTTAATAATTATAATTATATTATAATTAGTTTGTAGTTAAACAGAAAAAATATAAAGTTTTTGTTAATTTAGTTAAATTTTTAAACAACGATTTGCTAAATGGCAAGCAGCATAACGCTAAGACCTTCTCGTTGGCAGGTCCTTCAATTAGTCTTTCGAAAGACAATTCAGAGCTTTGAAGATAGTGTCCAGACTTTTGTCTTTCGAAAGACTGTGGTGAATTGAATTGACAGTTGCCAGAATTGCCCTCTAAACCCGAAACTTCGAATTTGTCTTAAGAATAGCAACTTCACTGCCCGTTTCCATCGACTGACCTTAAATCCTTTAATTCCAAGTTTGAATGGCTATAGTGCTGAAGTTCATAAATAGTTATATACTAGCACCACCAAGTATTTTGTAGAGCAGCATAGGGCGGTATGTACATACATAAATGAATCGGATATTCAAAATTCACAAATGATAAGCTTTAGAAGCAACGTAATTCGATAGCGATTAGTACCTATATTGTGAAGTCCATTCAAGTAAATTTGACTATGAAAACAACGATAAGAAGCGAACAGCAAAGATAACCGCGTGAGAGTATGAAACACAATAAATAAATATAACAGCTCTGTTAACATAGTAGTTGTAGCGACTGATTGATAACGCATTGGCTTTATCACCATGGCAAATAAGTCAAAAGCCAATTCAACAATTGGTTTTTGCAACGTACTAGATACTCGTATAACATTTACTGCTGTTGTTGGGTTTTCTCATTTTCCAGCAGCAGCGCAATGGCGTTTTTACGGTGGAGAGGAGTTGATTGTGTGCGCGAATATGTGTGAATGTGTGAGTGAGCGCGTGTTTGCGTCTGTGTGTGGCAACACCCCTTAGTGTGTGGCACAGTGGTGCCTACCTGTAAACCCATTACAATGGCNTGTAAATGAATCGGATATTCAAAATTCACAAATGATAAGCTTTAGAAGCAAAGTAATTCGATAGCGATTAGTACCTATATTGTGAAGTCCATTCAAGTAAATTTGACTATGAAAACAAAGATAAGAAGCGAACAGCAAAGATAACCGCGTGAGAGTATGTAACACAATAAATAAATATAACAGCTCTGTTAACATGGTAGTTGTAGCGACTGATTGATAACGCATTGGCTTTATCACCATGGCAAATAAGTCAAAAGCCAATTCAACAATTGGTTTTTGCAACGTACTAGATACTCGTATAACATTTACTGCTGTTGTTGGGTTTTCTCATTTTCCAGCAGCAGCGCAATGGCGTTTTTACGGTGGAGAGGAGTTGATTGTGTGCGCGAATATGTGTGAATGTGTGAGTGAGCGCGTGTTTGCGTCTGTGTGTGGCAACACCCCTTAGTGTGTGGCACAGTGGTGCCTACCTGTAAACCCATTACAATGGCTAACAACCGGAAAACTACCCTTCGCATGTTGCAACGCAAGAGCGAAAGAGATAACGCACTGCAGGATACTTGCTTCCCTGACTTCAGTTGTTGTGTTTGTTTGTTTTTTTTTCGTCACTGCTTTGCTGTGCAACACAGGACAACTATTCACTGTATGTTGTCAACGGTTGGCAACGCATCGCAGGACCTAAGCATATTGCTCTTCTGCCATTTCATTCAGACACTTGCCGCTGGCTTGCTCGGTTGACTGGCTCATGTGAATGGCATTGATATATCGAAGTCCATGCTGTTTTTGTGTCAGTCGGTGGTTGTTGGTCGAAACGTAAATTTGACACGCGCGGGAAATGCGATTTTCACCACGACACGTAACGTGTTTATTTGTTGTTGATGTGACTAACCGCAGTAATTAAAAAATAATTTGGAAAAGTAACAAGACGACTTGTTCGATAACAAAAAAAATTATAATAATAAAACCTTATCAAAAGAAACATTGTTTAAAAAGTGCAATTAATTAACTAAATCATTGGTAATTACTTCACCGCGGCAAAAAGATAACTGTGAAGAAAATTAAAACAAAAGCAAAAGTGTGCAAAAATTTACTGAGTGCTCAATTGAAGTTAAAATATTCTGTTAAAATGATGACCACTTCGACTCCACATCCCATCATGGCGCCCGTTATGCGTCCCGTGCAGGATAGCTCCGTCTCAAGGCCACGCGCCGTCTACAGCATCGATCAGATCTTGGGTACACAATCGAAGAGAAGCGGTGAGTTGTATGAATTAAAAAAATATGTATGATTTTATGAAAAGCTCAACAGCGCTCAGATCTACAATAAAAGCTTTACAGCTTATTTTTGGACAATATTTGTAATTTGTTTTAGGCAGTTACGATCAGAGAGCGCTTTTAATCAGCAAGCGAAAAGCTTAAAAAGCTTCCTCCGCGGGATAAACATTCAGCCTGTTTTTTGCTTTTTCGATAGACTTTTTTCGGAAGTATTTAAAATTAGTAGGATAAACACTGTTACTCAAGCTGCTTTGAACATTTGTCTGCCCTTTAAATTGGGATCTCCAAAAAGCATAAAATTTTTGTATGAAATATGGTTGTGATAGGCTTAGATATTTGAAGAGAGGTATTCATGGGTCTGGAAAGCACGATATTAGCACAAACTTCCCTAAGTTTTATTTCCAAAAGTATATGCAAACTTAAAAATTAATAGAGCTTTAGGGACAGACACTTATAGAGACTAACTATGCTAATGCCACTAGGCATTAAATGGCAAAAATGACAAATGACAAAGTTGGGCATTGAAAAATAAATATGTCGTTACGTTGAAAAAATTGTCATTAAGTTCATTTCCACATGGCGTTTTTTTTTTTANCAATTTTTGTATGAAATATGGTTGTGATAGGCTTACATATTTGAAGAGAGGTATTCATGGATCTGGAAAGCACGATATTAGCACAAACTTCCCTAAGTTTTATTTACAAAAGTATATGCAAACATAAAAATTAATAGAACTTTAGGGACAGACACTTATAGAGACTAACTATGCTAATACCACCAGGCATTAAATGGCAAAAATGACAAATGACAAAGTTGGATATAAATATGTCGTTACGTTGAAAAAATCGTCATTAAGTTCATTTCCACATGGCGTTTTTTTTTTTAAATGGCATACATTTTTTATTTCAATGCTAATTGGAAATTCCACATTATAGCTAGAGAATATAATAGGCGTATTCCCGAAGTCTTGCAAAGCCCTTGCACGGTGCACGGGTTGCATGTTAAAAACCCGGTTTACCTATGCGACTGCTTTATAAGCTGTACAATCCGTGTACCTTCGAGAATACCCCTAATATAAAAATAGTTATATTAATTGGAGATTAATCCTGTGATCTAATTTATGCAAAAAATCATCAGTTATATGCTGAATGTTGATATAAATTTTAATTTGAAACGATCAATGCTATTTTTATGCAACTATTACTTAAATACGATTGAAAACCCAATAATTGAAATGAAATTGCTACCTGAAATAAGGCATTTACATTTGCTTAGGCGNGCATTATAGCTAGAGAATATAATAGGCGTATTCCCGAAGTCTTTCAAAGCCCTTGCTCGGTGCACGGATTGCATGTTAAAAACCCGGTTTACCTATGCGACTGCTTTGTAAGCCGTACAATCCGTGTACCTTCGAGAATACCCCTAATATAAAAATAGTTATATTAATTGGAGATTAATCCTGTGATCTAATTTATGCAAAAAAAAATCATCAGTTATATGCTGAATGTTGATATAAATTTTAATTTGAAACGACCAATGCTATTTTTATGCAACTATTACTTAAATACGATTGAAAACCCAATAATTGAAATGAAATTGCTACCTGAAATAAGGCATTTACATTTGCTTAGGCGATTAATGACAACTAGTGTCTAAAGGTATGCTACGCCCCAAGCAACTGGTACCAAACCGCTGCAAATCTGTATGTGAAATAATTTCATATTCGAAATTATTCATGCATATCCACTTCTCAACTGCCGCATAGCAAAACTTGCTGAAGCAGTTAATTGCTGGCATCCCAAATCATGCTCAACAAACGCGCTTGATGCATCAAGCTTGAGACCCCTTAGATACAACGGGTTGCGAACCACAGCTGTAAAGATTTTTCCTCTTCTTTTATGTCAAACTCAAACAAATTCAAAATGAAGATAACAAATTGGAAGCTATGGCCCGTGGCACGGCATTTTTAATGTGTTCAGCTCTTTACTACTCCTCCGAAGTGTTTTTTAAGCAACAAAAGCCAAAGCGCTATAAGCTGTCGTCGGGGCTCTGTATGTCTTTCAGCATATTTGCACTCACAAACTCGCGTGATGCATCCCCCAAAAACTCGTCTGGAGTTTTCTAAACGGCAAAGCCACCGGCTAAAAGCCGTAGATACTCTGCATGACTTACAACCATGCAGAGCTGGTAACTGATGGATATCATTGGCCCCAACGCCTTCCCAAAACATTTCTGCTTGAATAAATAAAAGATTTCACAAAGTGTAAATCAATTCATCCTGGGTTTTGTCCTCTCATTGAGTTATTCAACATTAATCGTCTTTCTATCTGTTTAAGAAGCGAAAACTTCTTCTAATCATGTTTAACGGTGTAAGTATCGACACATTCCTTGATAATAATTTTTCGAAAGGTAATGTGATATTGCCGTCGGTTGTTTCAAAGAAATATTCACAACAACCCATTTATAGAAGCTTATATACGTTTTGGATAAAATAAATAAATTCGCCTAGGTGCTACATTCACTTTGTAAATTATATAGCCTCAACTGCGTCTTCAAAACTGGTTTCAATAGCATCAGTACGTTGTTCCTTGTTTTAAAAGTGAATTTAATTTTATGCCTTAAATCGCCTACCAACCGAGGGCGGTGAATCGATAAAATCAATCGTTCCGGAGCACGTATTCTAAAATCCCTGATTTTTTGCCTTTATATCGGTTTCCTTTCAAGAATCGGCTTTCTCAAAATCCTCATAAAATTCAATTGATATCACTTATTGACTGCTTAATTCATTGGAACTTTCTGAAGTGTTTTTTTTACTTTAATAAAAATATTATCATCATAAAATTGAAAGGAAAGGTAAAAATGTATTTAACATAAAAAATCTTTTCGGACTTACGAAAAACCAACTTTCAAACCAATTTAAAAAAGAAAATATTTTTGTTTGCATGCAGACTCTTTTATAATTTTTAAAAGAAGAATAGCAATAGTGACGAAATGGATAGAGTTACGTGCTTCCACCAAAGCGGAAAAAATAGGAATTTTTCTGCAAAACGCTTTCTGAGAGGGATTTTTCAATAAGACCTTCCCTTCGGATGCTGTATTAGAAGGCATTCTTATAGCGCTGCAATTCGAAAGCAGACGGGATGGTGAAGGTTTCCAAAGCAACGGAAGTAAATAACGGAAACATGCAACAGTGGGCATGTTGCTAAGCTTTCAAGTTTCAAGTAAATTTTCTTTTTCTAAGGGAAGCTGAATTAGAAGGTCGCCTTGACATCCTGGCTACTTCATTCAAACTAAAAAGGTTATTCCTTCAAAATTGGGAGTTCATGTTCATTATAAAAAATCGATCGGTCTTACACAATATGCAGACAGATGGGCTATGGACTATCATTTACGATCATAACTACAGAGTTTACGACTCTCGTATTCGCAAGCCACGATTGGAAATGAGACGTGGGACGAAGCGGATAATCCTACAAAAATTTCCACAGATAACTGAAAGCTCGATGGTTGGTTAGTGACTGGGTATATTTATATATTTATTATAAGAATACCTATACGTTCCTTAAAACTCCTGATCACCGAAAAATGGAACAGATTGGATCAGAGAATCCCACTTGTATAGATACAAGACAATTGTGGCCAATACTTAGCTCCAGGCGCCTCCTTCTAGTTAAAACTTTAAGTTGCTGTGAACAGTGACGACCAGATAGAGCTTTTAAATTATAGAAATCATTGACAGCTCTATGCTCAAAAACAGTATAGGTAAGGTCCTAATGCGAAAAAGGTATACATTTTAACCGCCGCGCATCTATGTAAAATATATACTTATATAAGGAGCTTAAAAAAAGCTCTGCACGCGGCCAATAATAATCAGAATTAGTTTTTAATCTGTCCACATCCATTCATAATGTCTAGAAAGCTAAGAAAGGCTTTTTACGCAATTAAGATTCGCCCATTACTGTTTTAAGCTTATGAAAAAGTATTTCTCGGAGAGGACTGATTTTTCGAAACACAGCTGAATGATTTTTATTCACTGTGAAGCTCGAAAATAAATTCATGTAAATTTTGATTGCTGAGTAATGTTTTTGAAATTTCCAAGGCTATTCATTTGTTTTAAGTCTATGGGAAATAGCCCAGTATTTTAAATCGAGAAATTTTTCGACAAAAGCGCATTTGTGGTCGAAAATGATGCTACACCTATCTTACAAAATGCATTATCTTCAGTTTTGTGGAAAGACATATTAAAAAAGTAAAAAGAACCACTCATGCTCACATGCCCGTAGTTACGTATGTAACGTATACGCCCGTAGCACCATTCGCAGTCACCTAACACGTTTCCTTTACGACAGTCATACTTGTAATATCTGCATTTCTTTCGTAGAATGAATGATTTGCTTTTATTCGTTACACTATAAAAAACAAAGCTCAAATGATAACCCAAAAACTTCATCATATTTTTTTTCATTAATGTTAAGCGTTTTTGCAAAACATTTTGTTAAAATCAAACGCTTAAAATTTACGATAAAAACAGAATAAAAGTGTTGCGTTATAATTCGTACTATGTATGGCGAATGAAAGCAGTCGCAGATTCTACAAAACCGTCGCAAATTTTACGAAAATAATTTCGTTAAATACATATACGAATTCTTTTGGTGAATTTTACAAAAATTTCGTAAAAATAACAAGGAAATAGTACGAAATTCTTTAGTAAACAGTACGAAATTTCTTATAAAATAGTACAAAATGCATTCGTAAAATGTACAAAAGATCTGATGTCTCATATTTTCGTAGAATGTACGAAAACGTTTTTGTAAAATTAACAAAAACTTTCGTTGCTCAAAATAACGAAAAAATTCGTAAGATCTACGCAAGTTTTCGTTATATTTACGTAGATTTTATTTACAGTGTAGGTCTTGCTGGAGTGAATCCAAAGAAAGAGTTGAGATACATTTTCATACAATTTGCTGAAATTGCATCTTGAA